GTCAGTTGGGGGTGGGGGAATAGGAGAAGGGGGAATTAACAGCCCAGTGTACTTGACAGGCATCTCCCCTAGTCTGGGCTCAGGCTGAGGCAACAGGATGATAAAATCCACTGTTCAACATCAAAAATCAACATCGTAACATCCTATTTTCGTTCAAGATATTCCGCAACTTTCCACTTCCGTTTGAGACGTGGTATAAAGAGCTTACTTAAGCAAAAAGGCATTCTGAGCAGCAGAAAATCATGTCTGTTCAGGCTGTTTGTGTCGTTAACCAGAATCAAATCGCGTCAGGGAGGAAGTGGTGAAGTGACGTCAGTGTGAGAAGAGCTGACGTCATCAAGCGAGCCGTCCTCAATTATGGCGTCAGGGAGGAGGGGCGATTGGAGTTTAATTGAATAAAGCGAGGGGCGCACAGGAGGACCGGATTGACGCTCGGACCGCAGGCTGCAGCCGGGATCTTGCGGTGCTCCCGGAACTTCGACAGCAGTGTTGTTCCGACGTGTTGTTGACGTCGTCGGTGATTTTGCGTGAAAGAGCACGCGCCGCGGGCCGGTTTAGGCAACGATGTGTAACCGCGAGTCGCGTAGCCTGTCGAGTTCCCTCCTCGAGGACACGGCTGTGTCTCCACGCAGAAGAGACCCTGCGCACGGCTATTACCGGGCGTCCAAGCGCCTCCATAAAGGTGGGTGTCTGTGTTGCAATCGGTTCGGCCACGTAGGTCAGCGGCTGACCGTGTACTCCTGTCACTCTCAAATCGGCTTTTCAGCCTCTTTACTCCCCCTGACGCTATGAATCCTCACGCCCGAATGCAGATTTGCGGTACAGGTGCGAGAGAGATTTTGGTTTTGCACAGTCTCGCAGTGTGCGCATGTCTGCGGAAATGACGACGCTTGTGGTGATGGCGCTCCCGTTGTTGCGCAGATTTCTCGCAGATCTGCAGGCATCTGCGCAGCTGCTCGTTTTTTCCAGGTCTTACGGGTCTGAAGTCTCGCAGCTTCGTGAAAGTGCCCTGTGCAGCACAGAGGCTAATGATAAAGGGCTTATTTGTGCTGACGGCGAGTTCACAGAAGTTATGGAAAACTTAACAATAAGATTAATGATAACGTTACGAAGTTACCTGAAGGCCGTAACCGTGGGTTGAGAGAATGCGAGCGCTGTCTCGGGGAGTCACGCCTTTCGCACGCTGTGAACCCCCTGATTATGGCCCTGTCTCGCTCTCTGTCTGTGTGTCTGTGCAGGGCTGTACTCGTCCTCTGAAGATGACTCTACTGATGAAGGCTCCAGCGACTCCAACTCCGTGTTCGGCCACGAAACCTGTGAGCGGCTTCTCTTTCTGACTAGTGACGTCACAGCCGCCCCGGCGGTCCGGGTAGCTCCGGGAAGTTGCCCCCCACCCCCGCCTGCGAACAGGACAAACACTGAAACCCGTCGCATTCGTTTGTGCCGTTCTGTGCCGTTTAAAGTAGCGTTTGTGCTTTCCCGCGATATAGCGTCTTATTTCGTCGGGGATGTGACGTCATTCGCCCGCCCGCCTCCCCAGAACCGCGCAGGAGAACCGAACCGGGCTCGTTCGTTTGTGCTACGCCTGTGGTGTGCAGGGGACTGACCCGGCCTCCCATTGCACAGCAGTCCGATCCACTCCAGGCTTTGCCTGCTGCTGGGCTCTTGAGTGGGAGCCCACGCCATCTGATGGGAAATGATTGTAAATTTGGGCAGATGGGAACCTCATGTAGAAACAATGTCATGGGACTCATGACCTTTAATCAGGAGTCCTGCAGCTGGTGATGCCAGTTCAAAAGAGGGAAACTATATTTCTCCCTATTAGGATCTCTGTCTCTCCCCCCCACAAGTCAAATGGCTCCATCGTTCAGATGAGAAGTAAAACAGAGATCCTGACTCTCTGTGGTCATTAAAAATCCCAGGGCTTTTCAAGAAAAGAGTAGGGATGTAACCCTACTCTGGTGTCCTGGCCAAATTTCCTGACCAGAAATCTCAATGTGGTTGAAACCAGTGGAACGTAAAATGCAATCCCACACACCACCTCCCTCCTCACCACCCAGCTGACGGCCGTCCTGCTGCAGGATTGGGATGGGATTGGGCTGCGGAAACTTCAGATCCCTGAGGAATCCCTCAGGCCACGGTCTGTCCCAGCTGTTCCTGCAGTTCACAGGTCTCCATGGCGTTGGGAGCAGCAGCCTGGAGCACTGGATGGGGTTCTGGGCTGTGGTGCAGTGGGATTGCGGGCTCAAATCCCAGGTGAGGCACAGCTGTTGCGCTATTGAGCAAAGTGATATTTCTCCAGTCATGACCTGTTGCTCAACATCAGCATTGTAAATTAAAATGTGTTCTTATTGGACTCTTCTGGTTAAATTTCAGGATGTTTTTAATGGCTTTGGTAGTGGTGGGTTCCTCATGTAGTGAAAGTATGTGTAATATCTCAATTGTAGCTGTGTTGCTTGTAAAAAGCAACAACTCATCTCTTCTTTTTACATATGTGGGAAGAAATGATCAATCTCTCAGTTGGTGGGTTGTTGTGGTGGATTTTTATCTAAAATCTCAAACGTTCCTTATTGTGATTCGGCAGTTTTTCCAAGTCCCTGTAACTCCTTCTCCCTGAGGAGATGGGAAAGTGCTCCGATTAGAACAACCCTAACTGGAAACCTTCAACCGGGGTTCCGTGCGACGGGGAAAATCAGCCGGATTGAGGACTCCGAGGATAGGCGGGAAGCTGGGAGTGCCTGGGGTTGGTCAGGGGCCTCGCTCGTGTCCTGTCTGTGTGGAGCCTGCGTGCTGGGGGAAGCAGTCAGGGTGTAAAACAGAGCAGTGAAGCAGTGGTCTGGCTCAAGCGGAGCCAGGGAAGGCCGGGCGCTATTCATAGCTCAGTGAGTGTGAGAGGCGGGGGGCGGTGGTGTGTGTGTGTGCGCTCTCGAAAGCGATACCCCTGTCTGCCAGGAGACTCGGTCCTCCACTCTGCCGGAGAGAGCTGATCGGAGAGGGGCTCGTCCGCCGCTCTCTCTCTTTTTCTTTCCTTCCTGCGTCGCCCAGGTGTGGACTCCGCCATGACCAGCCCCAGCGCCGTGGACCCCACCAGGATGGGGGAGGGCAAGGCCATCGCCGTGCTGACCTCGGGGGGAGACGCACAAGGTCAGTGGGGGGGGCGTGGGGGTCCCCGAATACTGCCTTCTGCCAGACTGATGGCGACTGTAGATCTGTGCATTGCGTTGTCCCAGCTAGCTGTGTAGATCTCGTCTCCTGTGCGTTCGTATCTGTCCCTCTCTGTCCAGTAGTGTGTTCAGACATCGTCTCCTCTGTGTGATCTGTCACCTTCACTCCTCTGCCTGTCTAGTCCAGCTGCAGACTGTTCTGTGCGTTTAATCCTCTTCATCAGAAGGCTGACTGATGCCGAGCTCTTTGGCTCTTTTCACTAACCTGCTTAAAAAAACATCGCTAATCGGATCCATTAAGGAACAGAGCGAAAGCCAGGATTCAGTCCTGCCCCCCTCCCCCAGGACTGTTGCTAACAGCACCCTTCTGCATGAGAGTGTGCAGCAGTGTGAGCCCACACGTTTCATGGTCTGTCTTCCCCTGTGGGCTTGGTCTTGTAGGCTTGTGAGCGTGGGAAAAGAGCGCTTGAGGTGCACTCTTGTCTTAGTCGGGGGTGAAGTGGGGCATCATGACCCCAGTCTCTGCTGGCTCTTTTACTCTTTTTGAACAACTTTAATATTATAGAGTAGCTCTCTGCTAATCAATTGAAAGTCTTGTCTTTTTAAATTAGACCTTTACGATTACTTATGGCTCTAAAGAGGTTTCAGTCATTATTGACTTTCTGTAGGGATGGTGGGATTTTTAGTGATTCAGTCTAGAAAATGTAACGGTCCAGTTAACTAATAGTTCTTAATTGCTTAATTGGTCTGAATCTAGGAGACTAGGGGGTTCTGCAGGTCAGGGTCAAGAAGCTCTTGACGGGTGTCTTGGTGTCTGCCTGTGTCGGCCAAGACTCTGTAAAGATTTGAGTCGCAAGGTGCTATATACGCAAGCGGCATCCTGTGTCTCTTTCTCGTGGCTGGTGCTGTTGTCGGCAGCAGCGCTAGGGTCCCTGCTCGGCTACGAACCAGGGATCGTGGGATCATGGTCCCTGGGATAATGGGATATGTAGCGGCGTTTGTGTCTTGACGTTCCCTGCCAGGGCAGAGCAGTGAACTCCGAGTGTCGCCTGCTGCAGAAACCAGATCGCTGACTGTACAGGTGTTTGGTGCTGCGATCAGGGATTCAGGGTCCGAGCACTGGGGATGCACTGTGGCACGACAACCTTTGACCTTTATCCTCCATGCCGTCGTTTTGTCTGGTTTAGGCCGAGATCTCCGGCGTGGAGCAGGGCGGAGGGGAGGGTGTCGTTTTCATTTGTCGGGAAACTGGATTTTTCTTTGCCCTTTCCTGCTTTAACCGACCTCCCAGTCTGTTCTGCTGCTCTAAGTTTAGTGCCGTGACCTTTCTGTGGAATGAGGCAGCGCTGTGGAGGGCGGAGGGGGGGGGGTTGGTTGTTCTAAGAGCTCAGCTGCTCTTGATCTTGAAACAGGAGTCACTGTCACTGACTGGGGCGGGTGGGGGCAGCAGCTGTAATACAACCCAGGCGCGTGGCCTTTTCCGAGATCCCTCTCGGAGGGCGCTGGGGGACAGGGAGACGTGGCGCCCAGTGCACGGGACTGTGGTGTGCTCGTGTGACAATAGAGGCGAGCACACCTTCCCCATGGTGCCCCAAACACGCGGACTCCAGCTGCACGGTGCATGATGGGACAGCACGACAGTCGCCTCGCCCTGCGCTGGCTGCAGTGCGGCCCCTAATTCCCAATCCTAATCTCTGGAACACCAGAGCAGAAACTTCGGAAATGAGTCAGGACCCCTGCCCTCTCTCTGCTCGTGAATGACTTGGGGGTTTGGTGGGGGGGCACTTTGGGGGACCTCCCTTAAGACAGTTGAGGGGTGGACTTACAGCAGTGGGGCAGGGGAACGGCCTAAACTGACGGCTCTTGTCAGAAAAGAGCATGGAGCCCTGGAGTCGGAGAGGGGGATGATCTGGGAAGGGATGGAGAAGGTGTGCGCTCGAGGTATTCCGAGTCGGTTCCGAGCCTGGCGGGCCTCAGAAGGAGGATGAAGCGCGATGTCGCCAAATGGGGTTTCCCCACGGCGAGGGGGAGCGCTGAAAAGGACTGTGGGCCCTGTAGAGGGACTGATGGGCAAACGCAAGTGGGAGGGCGGGGAGGGTTTCTGTAATGGCGCCATTCCAGCCCCATCATTCACTTGCACAGATCGATAATGGACAATCACCGCCGACTGGAGCGCTTTTCATTGCATGCGAAGTTTACCAATTTGTGAGGATGTTTCTTTTGTGAGCTGTTGTTATGGAAAAAACGTATATTTTGATTAAAAAATATTTCAGCTCTTCCGAGTGGCAGGCTTCCAGTCTGACCCCCCACCTCCTTTTTTTTCCAGGGATGAACGCCGCGGTGCGCGCCGCGGTTCGAGTCGGCATCTACTGCGGAGCCAAGGTCTTCTTCGTGCACGAGGTCAGTGTCCCGCTCGGTGCAGGCCTGCTGGGCCCTCGTTCATCACCCATCTTAAAACGACATGATCACAGGCGAGGTCGACAGAGAGATGAGCCCCTCTGGCCTGTTGGGTTGTTAGTAGCTCATTGGGCTGAGGATCTACTTGACGTAAACCAGGCTTTCGGCTTCATCTACATGGCTGGGTAGCTTGTTCCACTCTACCGCCACCCTTGATGTAAAGTGCCATGTGTCCTTGGTTTTAAATGTACTCCCACACCGTTTCCATTTGTGCACTTAAGAGGTCACATGCCACATATCAACACGTCTATTTATAGCGTCTTTATGGGAGCTGTCTCTGTGTTTACTGCGTCTCTGTTCCTTGTCTCGTCCGCAGGGTTACCAGGGCCTGGTGGATGGAGGGCACAACATTCGCCCAGCCACTTGGGAGAGCGTGTCCATGATGCTGCAGCTGGTGAGGCTCAGGGGTGACCCCTGCTGGACACAGGCTCCCCACACGCACGACCGCTCCTGCCGGTTCCTTAACTGTTGCAGCTGAAGGAAAACACATAGATGAGAGCAGCCCCTTGCAGTGGGAAAACACAAACGCCTTATTTGTGCCTGTGCCGATTCCAAGTAACGTGCACAGAACACCTAATGGACCGAACTTCACATTTGAATTAAAAGAGGGCTTTTTCTGTGACGATAAAGAAAAAACAACAATAACGACAACAAAGAATATTAACTGATTCACAGGTCTTCACTAAGGGGAGAGACGGACTAAGAGTGGGGTCTCCGGTCCTGGTCCTGGGGGGGGGTCAGTGTGTCTGCAGGGTGGCCAGTCCTGGTCCTGGGGGGGTCAGTGTGTCTGCAGGGTGTCCAGTCCTGCTCCTGGGGGGGTCAGTGTGTCTGCAGAGCTAGGAGAAGCTGTCAGTGTTGTCCTCTACAGTCAGTAACCTGCTGATTTAGCACAAGGGCTGAGACTGCTACAGCTCCTTTCTAACTGATTCACAAGTTCACCTTTGCACACCAGGTCTGTCTGTGTGTGGGGCTGGGCTGAGAAAACACTGCAGAATCCCGGGAGGAGTAAAACTCTGCACACACTTGTGCCCCTGTCCTTGAGTAAGACTGTGACGTGGAGAGAGTGGTACCGATTCACCATTCTCTTCTCCTCCAGAATGAAGCTCCACACGGTGTGAAAATTAGACCCCAAACAAGCAGTCTTAGTGCAAATATGAACTTCTGTCTGTTGTTGGGATGTTCCCACTTTGTCTTTCAGGAGTTATCTTAGTGGGACCACTTTGTTCTTGTGCTGATGGTGGTGCCCTTTGGATGCACACATCTTGTGCACCCCATCACTGAAGTACTGGGGAACCTGGTCCCTTGGCTGCTCTTGGGCTAGCGTGACCCAGTGGGGGGAGTGAACTGGACTGAATTGTCCCTGTATTTACCTGATAGAGGTCCTGTGGTCCTTGAGGGCCAGAGCTTGTTTCCAGCATTGCAAACCTTTCTGGGTCACCCAGTTCAAATACAAAACCGCACACGGTTACCCCAGGGTGCACGGTATCTCTTTCGCCGGCCATCACCCTCTGACCTTTGCACACTGACCCTGGGCTCTGGGTTTCTGTAACCCAACCTCCTCTGTGTTGGCGGGGGGTGGGAGCCAGGAGTCATGTGAGAATGCCAGGGTGTGATGGTGACCACAAGAGAAGTATTAATACTCACTCCTTGGCGGCACAGTGCCGCAGTCCTTAATGTTGCTGCCTCACAGCTCTCGGGTTCCTGGAGTGCTATCTGTGTGGAGTTTGTATGCACTGATGCCCTTTGATGCATTGGCGTCCCATCCTGGGAGTATTTGGTCTTGCACCTGTTGCTTGCTGGGATAGGCTCCAGTTCCCCTGCCATGTTGGATAAAGCAGTTACAAAATGGATGGAATAACCAGTATTCCTTGTACTGGTGCAGGAAGCTGTAAGTGCGCCCAGTTGGCGTGGTCACGCTCATTGGCTTTCATCTGCACTGGTACCCACTGTGTCGGCAGCAGGGCTGAGGCAGTGGGGGAGAGACTGGGGGGGGTCTGCACCAGGGGGCGCTGTTGAGCCTGGAACAAGGGATACACTGGCCAGTTCGATCCCAGTCACAGTCGGCTAGTGCCCACAGCCCAGAATGTGGAGGGAATCACTTCATGGGCTAGAATTGGGGAACCCCCCTGCGCTGGCCTTCCGTACTGCGATCGGAGCGGAGGTCTCCAGCGGTTGAGCCCCGGAACGCAATCGCTCCCTCACGCGCTTGTTTTTCTCCAGATCTAGTCGGTTCATGCCCTCTCTCCCTCTCCCCCGCTGCGCGGCAGGGCGGCACGGTCATCGGCAGCGCCCGGTGCCAGGACTTCCGCGCCCGAGAGGGCCGCACCAAGGCCGCCTGTAACCTGGTGAAGCTGGGGATCACCAACCTGTGCGTCATCGGGGGCGACGGCAGCCTCACCGGAGCCAACCAGTTCCGCTCGGAGTGGAGCGAGCTGCTGGCCGACCTGGTGAAGACGGGTGAGTGCCCGCGGCCTGGGGTGGCACGTGCTGGCCTGGGACACCACGCAGCCCAGCATGACACAGTCCAGTCACACCCGAATAGTGCGTGACATTCCTGATCCCGGTCCAGCACCAGCCCTCTCCTGGGGCTCTTGTCTTGCTCTCCTCTCCCCGGTTACTTTTGTTCTGCACTCGGTTTGGAATCGTGGATTATGTGTTTTTTCATGTCATGGCTCACAACTACAGCCCCTGTGGCCTCACACAGGGGAGGAAGAGGAAGTGCTGACATTCTGACTCCGCCCACCTCTGAGTCACATGTCACAGGCGGCACGTCCCCCTGCTGGAGGATCAGCTCACTGATTGGAGGAGAGGCGCGTCCCTCACTGACACTACTGCATGCCTGCCAGTTCCCAGGAGTACAGGGCTCGCTGAGAGCTGAGATAGTCCTGGCCGACTAATCACATCCTCTCCTCTGTGCACCACTGCTTGGGGAAACCTGACACAGTGGGTTTGTGACAGAGCCCAGGTTCGAACCTGCGACCACAGAGCTCTGCCTGCGCTCGAATAAGCAGCTTTACAAGCTCGGGACGCCCCGCTGCTTGTCATTAAAACCTTTTTAAAATGTTTATGATGGACTCCCACTCATTCTCCCCTTGTAGTATCCTCTCGCACTCCAGCGTGGAGTCCCTAGTCCGTCAAAATTCCCCTTCGGCGGCCTGGTACAGCATCCTCCCGTCCCACAATCCCACAATCCCACCTCATTCCCTGTTACTGTCCCTCTCTCCCAGGCAAGATCACTGCGGAAGAGGCAAGGCGCTCCTCCCACCTCAACATTGTGGGCATGGTGGGCTCCATCGACAACGACTTCTGTGGCACCGACATGACCATCGGCACCGACTCCGCGCTGCACCGGATCATGGAGGTGGTGGACGCCATCACCACAACGGCGCAGAGGTGGGGCTGGCGGTCGGCTCCGATACACGAGCTCGGTCAAGCCGTGGGAAGTTGCATGGGTCAAAAGGATGAACCGCAGGGCTTTCCAAGCTGTCCGTTAGTTGTCGGTTCATTGGCTGCCTGACGGCTCAGTTGATTGATCAGGTCTTTCTGTCTTTGCTCTCAGCCACCAGAGGACCTTCGTGTTGGAAGTGATGGGGAGACATTGCGGGTGAGTCATCGTGATGACGGATCGCTTTTAAACGTTTGTTATACGATACTCTCATTGTGTGCCTGAATGTGGTTTTGAATGTGCAGGTGAAGATTAAGAACCTGTAGTCCTCAGAGCCCCTTGGAGACCTGCAGGGTTTACACCTGGCAACAGATTGGGAGCTAAAGAGTGAATGGGCTGAACTGAGTTATGATCCATGTTTTCACATGGGTTTCCTCTGGGTGCTTCACAGTCCAAAGACTTGCTGGCAGGTTAATTGGCTTCAGAACGTGGCTGGGTGGCGGACTTATGATCCAGACGGGTCTTATGTAATTACGACCCAAGGAGAAGTGAACACCAGCATCTTCCAGGTGGATAAGTTACGCCTGGTGCTGTTATTCCTGGATGGTTGGTGACTGTTCCAGTAGAAGAGACTGCTTGCCTTAGTGTAGTCGTGGAGACTTTTCCAGTTGGGGAAACCCTGACTTGGAGTGAGCCTGCTCTAGGGAAGTCTCCGTCTGTGCGTCAGGTACCTGGCCCTGGTGACAGCTCTGGCCTGTGGGGCTGACTGGGTCTTCATCCCCGAGATGCCCCCTGAGGATAACTGGGAGGATCACCTGTGCAGGAGGCTGAGCGAGGTGCGTCGAGACTTCTCCCACACTCTACTGAGTGTGCAAAAGTTTGCACCTTTGCTGCTCTCACACTGCACCCCCTTTCTGCTGAGTGTGCAAAGGTTCGCACCTTTGCTGCTCTCACACTGCACCCCCTTTCTACTGTTTGCACCTTCGCTGCCTGCTGCTCTCACACTGCACCTGCTTTCTACTGAGTGTGCAAAACTGCTCATTTGCTGCTTGCACTATATTCTTGAGCTGCTCATGTAGAGAATACATATCACCATATTGCCAAGTTCCCAATTAAAGAAATATGCAGTTATAAAATTGGGGAAAGCTGGACATAAAACTATTAAAAATAAAGACCTGAAAAATGTACCTGAGCCATAGGTATATTTAAAAAAAAAACAGTAACATAGACTGTTTACTTTTGTAACGCACAACGTATAACACCTACCCTACATATAAAAGCAGTATCTCGGAGATATACTAAATTCTACAGCCCCAGAAACCCAGACTGCTAACCCTGTAACCTGATATCCTACACAACACCTAAACAGGCCAGCAGGAGGAATACCCTGCATCCTAAATAAAAGAATATGACCCAGCACTAAACCCCCTTCCTACAACACTGATGCCCAAAGCTTCCCTATTCTGCAATGCACTGCATCCTAATAACATTTTTGGCCTGAGGATTTCACAATAAGAGTCCAGATTTTCTTGAAATGAAAAGGACAGGAGCATGGGACAGAGGCATAGTGGAGAGCATTGACTCCTCAGCCACAACCTGGTCTCCTAGATTGATCAAAACAAGGTCTTTTCACCTGGCACAAGCTTAGAGAAGGAAAGGTGATGCTGATTCTTGTCTCTCTACCTTCTCTCTCTCCTTTTTTTCCCTCTTCCCTGCCTTTTTTTATCCTGTGTGTTGAGTGTTCATCCCTTATTATGATTAACCAGAGTAAATCATCTAAAATCCTCATTTGCTTTTCTGTTTCAGCTAAACAAGCACTTAAATTGCAACTTACTGTCTTTAGTCCTTTTGTGATGTGAATTTTCCAAATGCGAACAGCAAATGATATGAGCTTTGACCACTAGCTATAGGGAAGACAAACATTCTTCTTTACAAATGCAATGAATCTGATCCCAGTATTCCCACGGCTACCAGTCAATAGAGGGGCAGCCCAGCGTGTCTCTCCTGTCACAGACTGAGCAACAGAGTGAGGCTCTCAAATAATATTATGTTCTTGTTATGTCTTAATTTTTTTTGATTTGTCAACACTGTAGTTCAGCAGTGATGCTAGAAAAACCTCTTGGACTTTGAGTCATGAAAGCAAGGGGTTCTCAGGGATGCACAGGCATGGGGTTAGATGGCTGGTTTAGAAACGATGCTGTGATGGAGCCAGGGTTGCAGTGTGGTTGCAGGTATGTTTTAATAAGTGGGTCTCAGGAAACGGACACAGCCACATTTAAAACTGCTCTTTATTTATTCAGTGTAGTAAAACTAAACCGAAGCTCTTCTTTGAACTCTAACGACACGTTTTAGTTGCAATACTCCACACTCCATGTCTTCTCTTTAAATCCAGCTAAGTTGCTGGCCAGCATCCAAAGTGAGGTGTTCTCTGAATCGGTTCCAAAAAGTTAATTGTACCCAGTCCATGTTCTTGTCAGTCGACTCCCAAGCTGCCTTCTCCCTGTGGTTCAACACATTACTGAGCCTCTGCTCTCTTCGAGCACAGCAGAGGTCAACAGCCGCTGGAAGTCTCCACTTCCTGTTATTTTACTGTCATTCAAACAATTTGTCTTCTTCCAATTGGTCAGGTAACTAAGGGTGGAGGGTAATTTCCTGCCCCATTCTATAGCTTTCTGGGTAATGTAGTTCAGACCAGATCTGCCATCTTGTCTGAGCCCATCATCACTGCACACTTTCATCCCTGACTGTCGTCTCTCTCCCAGACGCGAGGCAGGGGCTCACGGCTGAACGTGATCATCGTGGCTGAAGGCGCCATTGACAAGAACGGCAAGCCCATCACCTCCGAGTGTGTCAAGAATGTGAGTGTGGCCTCCAGTCTCTCCGACCTGTCACGCTGCGAGGTTGCGTTTCTTAACTCCCCCCACCCCCCTCTCTCTTTCCAGCTGGTGGTGAAACGGCTCGGCTATGATACTCGGGTCACAATCCTGGGCCACGTCCAGCGAGGGGGCACCCCTTCTGCCTTCGACCGCATTCTGGTACTGATGGCTCCTCCTCCTCCTCCTCTTCACCCGCCCGCCGCCTCTCATAAGGCTTATGGGTGATTGGCTGTAACCTCTCTCTCTCTTTCTTTCTTTCTGTCTCTCTCAGGGCAGCAGGATGGGAGTGGAGTCGGTCATGGCTCTGCTGGAGGCCACTCCAGACACCCCTGCCTGTGTGGTCAGTCTTTCTGGCAACCAGGCCGTCCGTCTGCCACTGATGGAGTGTGTGCAAGTGGTAAGCCCCGCCCCCTCAATATATCCTGGCCCCGCCCCCTCACCCTGCAAGGTGCTGTTTCTTGAGCTGCAGCCCTAATGACTTTCAGGAGCCCAGGACACTTTGGTGTCACGTGGATTGAACTATTATGGGCCAGGCGTGGCAGGTCAGATCCCAGCTTCTGTCTGTACCCAGACAGGACCAGGGATTCCCTCTGGATTTTCTGACTCACACAGTGTCAGAACTTGTGGCAAGCTGGGTGCATATCTGTCTTCTCAAGCTGGTCGCGATTGGAAAAATAATGGATTTTTACCCCAGCTTAGAAAAGAAATGGCTTACTGATAACAGTATTGTTTAGTTGGGTTCACAACCGTAGTGTATAAAGTGATTTCCCAACCTTGGGAAGAAGGAGCATCTCGTCAGAAGGAGAAGGGGAAGTAGGAATTTATAAATCCAGAACCCAGCTGTCCATGGCTCGGGCCTCAGGGCTGCTGTCCAGGTCCGAGTCCACCAGCGGTGACCTCTGACCTTTGACATCTTGCCCTGCCTCTCTCCCAGACAAAGGATGTGACGCGTGCAATGGCGGAGGGGCGTTTCGAAGATGCCATCAAACTCAGAGGACGGTGAGTGGCGCAGGGCTTCCCAATCCCAGCATCCTTGAGTCTCGCTCTCGGCTCTGGCCTGTCGCTGAATTGATAACCTGATTTATTGTGCCTTGTAGCGTTCTGCTTCGTCCACGATGTTGAGCAATGCATTTAATCTAGGATGTGTCGTCAAGCTGTTATCTTTTCTCTTCTCTCTGCAGGAGCTTTGAAAACAACTGGAACACCTACAAACTGCTGGCTCACATCCGCCCCCCAGAGGGGAAGGTAGGAACTGCAGCTCTCGGGCTCTGTAGTTGTGGGATCATTCCTGCCCAGAATCTGTTTGCATTTTTCAGCCCTGAAACTGACTGGGTGTGTGGCATCAATGTATCCATAAGAAACGAGCACCAATATGCTAGCGAGACTGGCTCGTCTATGAGAGCAGCTCCTACTTAGCCTGCATGTTTCAACTTGCTGGACACCTGTCACTGGCTACTTTATCTAACAGGTTCTCTTATTGTAGCATGTGTTAATCACTCGTGTGGATAGTGTAAGGGCAGGTTGGTTGGCATTGCTGTCTCACAACTCTTTGGCCTGGGGGACCTTCTTTCTGGAGTTTGCATGTTTTTTCTGGGACTGAATGGGTTTTCTCTTACCTCCAGAAACTGAGATGGAGCAGCCTTGGTTGCTCAAAGACTCTGATTTGTCCTTGTGTCTGTGCTTGTGCCCAGAGGTGGACTGACATCCCATCCATAGTGCGGTCCTGGCTTTTGCCTAGTGCCTCTTTATCACTGGGATACTCACCAGGAGTAACGGGATGTTAATGGAAGAGGTGTTAGTGGTGCGCTCACCCTGCGGTCCATGTGGGTCCTAATGCCCCAGTATAGTGACGGGGACACTATACTGTAAACAGGCGCCGTCCTTCGGATGAGACGTAAAACCGAGGTCCTGACTCCCTGTGGTCATTAAAAATCCCAGGGCGTTTCTCAAAAAGAGTAGGGGTGTAACCCCGGCGTCCTGGCCAAATTTCCCATTGGCCCTTACCAATCATGGCCTCCTAATAATCCCCCTCTATGAACTGGCTAAATTACTCTGCTCTCCTCCCCACTGATAGCTGGTGTGTGGTGAGCGTTCTGGCGCACTATGGCTGCCGTCGCATCATCCAGGTGGATGCTGCACATTGGTGGTGGTGGAGGGGATCCCCGTTACCTGTAAAGCGCTTTGAGTGGAGTATCCAGAAAAGCGCTATATAAGTGTACATTATTATTAATGGATGGATGGAGCAACAATGAAACCACATTTGTTTCAACAAAAAGACATTTGGCTTTTGCGTTCTTGTTGGCTTCATTATAAGAACTTTTCCATTTAACTCAAGGAAGCATCTGCTGTTTCTGCAGTTTAATCCTGATTTAGGGGCAATGTTGGATGGCATGTGGGATGAGGGTGTGAGGCTGGGATACCAGAGGGGAATGTGTGTTTGGATAAGATGACCATAATACTCTGTTCACTGAGACAAAGGGGATGTGTAACCTGCCTTGAGACTGAGAGAGCTGATTTAGCATACCTTATACCTTGGCAGAAATGTACGGTGTAATCCTTGTTCCCTATCGAACAGATCATCAGTCAGACTGACTGAACAGCTGATCAATGTAGAATGTTACATTGTGGAACGTTAAGCCTGTTAACAAAAATAAGTAGTAACTATAAGTATTATTGGTAAATGCAAAATGTCAAAACCTGACATTTCCACAAGCTTGTAGGTTTTCCAATAGTTATTCTTTATAAGCATTTTATTTACTAAATGGGGTGGAGGCCTGAAGGTTAGAGGTCACGTGAATTCCATGCATACATCAATTTTCTAACAGCTTAACCAGTTCAGGATCGTGTGGAGCTGGAGCCTGTTAAGCAGTGGGCACAAGGCAGGGTACACCCTGGACTGGACGCCAGTCCGTCACAAGGCTCACACACAGACACACTCTCACTCCAGGGTCGATACTCCCGGAAGCCAGTTGACCTGCCTGCATGTCTTTGGACCGAAGCACCTGGAGAAAACCCATGTGAACACAGGGAGAACATGCAGACTCCACACAGACAGCACCTCAGGTCCATAATTGAACCCAGGACCCCACGGCTGTGAGGCAGCAGTGCTATCTACTGTGCCACCATGCCACCTTGTTTGAATTCCATTTCAGATCAATTTTAAAATCTCCGGTCAGCTTAGATACCTTTGCCTTATGGACGAGATCTCTGGAACTGATTGACCAAGCGATGGGATCTCATTTAGGACGTCCCGCCTCAGGACAGATTTGTGCCCCAGGCATGCAGAAGCCCCCTGTGCCGACTTTGTCTCTCTCCGTGTGCCCTCTCTCCCAAACAGAGCAACTTCAACATCGCCATCATGAATGTGGGGGCGCCCTCCGCTGGCATGAACGCGGCAGTGCGCTCGGCCGTCAGGATTGGCATCATCCAGGGGCACCACATGCTCGCGGTGCACGACGGCTTCGAGGGGCTGGCCACTGGACAGGTACGGCTCCGGCCTGCGCTCTGCCGGGCCCGATCAGAGCGGCGAGCGTCGCCCCCGAGAGGCGCCGAGTAATCTCTTCTCCGTCTGCTCGCAGATTGAGCCCATCGGCTGGGGTGGCGTGGGCGGCTGGACGGGGAAAGGGGGCTCCAATTTGGGCACCAAGAGGTGAGGTGTTGGCCCTCTGCCTTCTGCTCCACATCCGGAGGGTTTGATGGGTTGATTTTTGTTTGTTTGAAACAAGCCTGTTTGTCGCGGTCTGTCTCACTCTGTCCAGAGTCCTCCCAGGCAAGACGCTGGAGGAGATCAGCCTGAACATCGCCAAGTTCAACATCCACGCGCTGGTCATCATCGGGGGCTTTGAGGTGAGGGGGCGGGGCTGCGCGGCACCGCGTTGCTGCAGTTGGCCCTGCGCGGCACAGGTCCCCAGTTCCAGAAGTGACCGAGATCTGCGTCATTCTTTTTTAGACATTTGGGATGGAGCTCGTGCCCACTATCCCAATCTCCTTATTCCTCAGTTCCATTCATTATTTTCCCTTCCTACTTTCAGTGATCAATTGTGTTTACTGTATATACTGTAAGCGCATCATCTCCTCCTCCTCCCAGTCTCCTGTTCTATCCCCCTTCTTATGTCTTGGAAGGATAAACGTCGGCCCCTCAGACGGTCTCTCTTGCATGTTTGAAGCGATCTGTACTGGCACCAGAGGTTCTTGACTGGGCTTTCCATTCCTCCCTGTCCCTCTTTCCCCTGTCCTTCCAGGCTTTCTCTGGAGGTCTGGAGCTGGTGAGCGGCCGGGAGAAATACGAGGAGCTGTGCATCCCCCTCGTGATCATTCCCGCCACAGTGTCCAACAACGTCCCCGGGTCGGACTTCAGCATCGGAGCGGACACCGCGCTCAACACCATCACTAATGTGAGTGCTGCAGACGCACTGACCCCCCCAGGGACCAGGACTGGACACCCCGCAGACACACTGACCCCCCCCAGGGACCAGAACTGGACACTACCCCCACTCCAGAAAGTGGGCTCCCCACATGGCCTTATTTGTCACCCCTCAAACACTGGCATGGCGCCCCCTTGGCACACAAGCATGTGACCCACAGTTGGTGACTGTTGTGACCGTGTCCCCTCTTTCTCTCTTCATCCCCGCCCCCCAGACCTGCGACCGAATCAAGCAGTCGGCCGCCGGCACCAAGCGCCGTGTCTTCCTGGTCGAGACCATGGGCGGGTACTGCGGTTACCTAGCAACCATGGCGGGGCTGGCGGCGGGCGCGGACGCGGCCTACATCTTCGAGGATCCCTTCACCATCCACGACCTGGAGGTCCGCTCACCTTCCCTGCGCCCGTTCCTTTGCTTTCAGGAGGCGGCTGTCCGTCTAGAAATGATCTGAAGGCCACATCTTTGGGAAATCCGATCTTGGAATTCTGGGTGGGGAATTCCCAAAGTCGAGCAGCCTCTGCAGTTAATTGTTAATTTAGTGGCATCTAGTTGAGGATCTTAATTATCTAGTGCTTTCTGGGGGTGGAGGGCTTCTGTGAGAAAAGCTTCAAATCCTGTACACGTTTCCTTGTGGTTTGATCTGGGTGAGTTTCTGCCGCTGTTAATTGGACAATTGAGTTAATTAGCTCCTTAAAAGAGATCAGAATAACTGAATCCATGGTGTCGGCAAGGATCAGAGTGCCAAAGGCTTCCGTGAAGAAATCGAGGGCTGAGATTTGAACCTGCAGCCCCTGAACTGGAGGCATGCCCCCTGCACTCTGCCTGATCTGTGTGTGACTTGCCGCTGTCTTGTTTGGCAGACGAATGTGGAGCACCTGGTGCAGAAGATGAAGACCACAGTCAAGAGAGGCCTGATCCTCAGGTACAGACATCCGTTTGTGTGCACTTATTGTGCTTTGCCATAACCAAACCCCTGGGTGAAACGGGGACGTGCTGGTTCAGCTCTAAGACTAACTACTGACCTGCCAAGGCCGTGCTGGGCTGACGCCCTGTTGCTCCCCCTGTCTGCAGAAACGAGAAGTGCAACTCGAACTACACCACCGACTTCATCTTCAACCTGTACTCCGAGGAGGGCAAGGGCACCTTCGACTGCCGCAAGAACGTCCTGGGACACATGCAGCAGGTCTGCGGCAGCCCACCGGGTGGCACCGAGCTAGGGGGGGGCCGGGGGGGGAGCCACGTGATCACGCTGTTCTCTTTCTCCCCTTGCCAGGGCGGGACCCCCACTCCTTTCGACAGGAACTTCGGCACCAAGCTAGGGGCCAGGTCGGTGCTGTGGCTGACGGACAAGCTGAAGGAGTGCTACAGGCATGGTGAGGGGGAGCTGGGCTCTCGCTCAGGTGGCGGGGAGGGGTGTGTGTGTGTGTGTGTGTGTGTGTGTGTGTGTGTGTGTGTGTGTGTGTGTGTGTGTGTGTTCAATAGCTCCGTCTCTCCCTCTCTCAGGACGCGTGTTTGCCAACACCCCCGACTCGGCGTGCGTGCTGGGCATGCGGAAGAGAGCCCTCCTGTTCCAGCCGCTGGCTGAGCTGAAGGAGCAAACCGACTTCGAGTGAGTTTGTCTGCGCGACCGGACTCTTTCCAGCTCCATCTATCCATTCATTCATTTCCTCACTGCTTCCGACTTAGGGTCTCGGGGGAGCAACAGCTTCAAGGTGGGGTTCACCCTGGATGGGACACCAGTCTATCACAGGACGCATAGACACACACTCACACCAGGTCCAATTTTCCCAGGGGCCAATTAACCTTCCACAAACCGAGGAGAACATGCAAACTCCACACAGACAGCACCCCAGGGCCGCCATTGAACCCAGGGCACCAGTGATGGGAGGCAGGAGTGCTAACCTGCACCACCCTCCTGCCCTCATTCCATCACCCTTTCCTTAAATTCAGTCTTGGGGGTCCAACCGTTCTGACCTCCTCCTCTCTCCCTCCTTTCCCAGGCATCGTATCCCTAAGGAGCAGTGGTGGTTGAAGCTAAGGCCCATCCTGAAGATCCTGGCGAAATACCAGATCACCCTGGACACCTCGGAAAAGGCTCACCTGGAGCATGTGATCCGGAAGAGGGGGGTGGTGGAGAAGGGCCAGTGAAGTCTGTGTTGGGGGATGTTGGGACGGGGGCAGGATCCTGGACAGAGGTGGGGGCGGGAGACTGCTGTTTCCTTGTACATGCGAGCACCGTCAAGCTCTTGGCTCGATTACTCTGGTCTGTGTCAAACCTTAGGCCTGGGGAGCCCCTGCAGCTCTCTGGTCTCCAAACCAGATCATTAACTGAGCTTGTTATTGAAATGAGTGCCTGGCAGAACCAGGGTTCGGGGCACCCAGCCGTAGCTGCGATCTTTCAGACGGCAGGCTGGGTGTGGCTCTCTCCCAGCTGTGACATCCTGGAGCCCTTAACTGATCTCGTGACCCAGAGTCTGTGCTGCTTCTTGGTTTGACTGCTCAGGTCAGGGTTGGCCTGAGCGATGTCCTCTCTGTTCTCTGTCTTATTCCGTCTCGTCTCCCCGTCTCTCTATCTCTCTCTCTCTCTTTTGTTTTTCCTCTGTGCCAGTTGTGTGAGATATAGAGCTCGCTAGTTAACTTTGTATTCTCTTACCAAGGACTATGCTCTGCTGTGATGGAGCACATTAAATATGACCTCCTAATGAATAGTATGTTGCCTGTGGTCATTTTTTACTTGTCCGTGTCCCTTCATCTGTGTATGAAATGAGTCGGTCAAGGGATTAGTTTGGTTTTACCCATGAAGCCAATTCCTGACCATCCTTGTCTGAGACGCCAGCCAGTCCGAAACCCTGTTGATGGGTGTGATGGGGGGGTTAGTGTGATGGTGTGTGTGTGTGTGTTGGGGGGGCGGTGCCTTTATCCTGTTTCAGATGAGGAGCCACAGGTGGATGGGGGGGGGTAGTGTTCTGCTCTCTCTACAGGGAACCTGCTGACCTGCTGCTTATTTGTGATTGTCTTGCAGTCACCTCTGGCCCATTAACAGGTGCGCACTTTCTCATCACCCTCGCTAATGATTAACAGTCCAACAGGGAAACAAGGCCACCCCTGGGATCCAAGGCTGTTCTCGCACAATCTGTTTGTGGGACATCATGACCCGTTTCTCTTGAAGATTAAGGCTCCCTATCAGCCCTGGTGGTCAGTCATTAATAGGAGCTTTAAACGGGACCTATAATTTTTTTTTATGCATTTTGCTGATGGGTATGGTCCTGGTAAAAGTCAGGATATTTGAAAGACTTTTGCAAGAGGAAAACGTCATGCTTTTAGTAGGACCTCTGTTCTTCTGATGGACACTCATGTAGTGTAACAACACACCATGTGCTGGTCTGGAGGCTCAGGGAGTCGGTAACTTGTTGTTGACTGAACGTCTGCCTGGTCTGCCTGTGCATTCTTGCTGTAATCTCCCGGCGCCTCACCCTTCCCCGTCAGATGACACCCGATACCTCCCGATTGGACAGAGCACAGCTCTCGGAGCCCTGCGATTGGCCAGAGCTCGCCCCTATAAAAAGGAGCAGCATTATCTAGTGTGTAAGGATTTCGGCTTGGGTCCTGACGAAGATGATGAAGACCCTCCTGCTCCTCGCTCTCAGCCTCTCTGCTCAGGCTCTGAGCCTAGGCAGTAAGTACAGCCCTGTCTTTCTCTCTTCTACACCCGGAAGATATGCTGTTCAGTTCTGACAGTGTGGAATTGCCCTGCTCAGGGTTGAGTTTGATGTTCTGTACTCTGTAGTTTGAAGTCTTTCTTTACCTAGAGGTGTATAGACTGTTTCAGTAGAGACTAATGTGACATGCAGTTTAGGAAAGGGAGTTCATCTAAGGGTGGTACAGTGGCGCAGTCCTGCCTCACTCTGGGGCTCCGGGCTCAACTGCTGAGCTGCTTGCTGTCTGTATGGGTTTTCTCCTGCTGGTCCTTTCCTCTCACAGTCCCAAGACGTGCTGGTGCGTTAACTGGTTTCTGGGAAAACTGGCCCTGATGTGAGCGTGTCTCTGTGTGCCCTGCAATGTACTGCTGTCCTGTCCAGGGTGGACCCTGCCTTCCACCCATTGCTTGCTGGGATAGGCTCAGGCTCCCCTGCTGCCCTGTACTGGATGAAGCATTTAGAAGATGGAAGGATGGACCGATGGATGGAATTCATTAACCGAAGGAAAGAAAATATGCCAGAGATTTCTTTCAAAAAGGCAGACAAAAAAGTGATGTGTGCAGGTTGCGCTATAGCCTGCATTTCGACAGCACAGCCTCACCTGAAATCACCAGCCAACAGGCTGGGGCTGTGTGCCTGGCAGAGTTCGGTCTGGACGGAAGCCAGCTCCACACGCCTGGGTTTGCAATGTGTGACCGGCGGTGCTGTGCAGCCCCTGTGCTGCCGAGTCTCAGCTCCTGTGCTGTTGTCCCCGCCAGACTCCCTGGACTCCTGTGAGGGGCGCTGTGGCTACGGCACAGATTCCTCCTCCTCCTGCCAGTGCAACCCTGCCTGCCAGCGTTTCGGGGACTGCTGCGCAGACTACCAGAGCGTGTGCACGGGTGAGAGGCGTCCCTCCCTCTGTGTGCGGGGGGGCGAGAGGGGCGTCCCTCCGTCTGTTTTCGGGAGGGAGTGAGGGGCGTCCCTCCGTCTGTGTGTGGTGGGGCGAGAGGGGCGTCCCTCCGTCTCTGTGCGGGGGGGAGTGAGGGGCGTCCCTCCGTCTGTGTGCGGGAGGGAGTGAGGGGCGTCCCTCCGTCTGTGGGCGGGGGGGCGAGAGGGGCGTCTCTCTGTGTCTGCAGGGACACGGCCTTTGAGTGAAAATGCAGCTGTGTAGCATCTCTAAATTGGACTTTTAGACGCCGTGTCTCACCTGTCCTCCTACGCTTTCTAGAACAGAGTTAGGCAACACTGTCCTGGACTGCGGGGCGCCCACTAGTACTAGAGGCACCTTTTCAATTAACACCTGATCTGAAAAACAGGTGAATGGACTTATTGTTGTTAATTGGTTAATTGGTAATTGATCCTTGGTTCAATCAAGTCATTCAAGTCCGAAATGGAACTGAAGGCAGAGATAACTGCGGCACTCCAGGGGCAGGGCTGCCAGCCCTGTTCCAGAACAGCACAGCGCGAGGAAGGTCGTGACATACACTCACCCGGCTGCCAGTACCTGAACGATTCCCAGCTTTCCGTCATTCAGTCTCTCTCTCCTCCTCTTTTAAACAAACTGGAATCTGCGATTATTTCACACATGTCTTCCTGTGCCCTCCTCTCTCCCAGGGGCCTCCTCTGCGCTCCCTATCACGGACGCGGAGCTGCTGTCTGTGGCCGAGCTGCTCTTCGCTCTGGATGAGAACAAGGCTTCTCCGGCCCTGCTGGTCATCAGCCCCCAGGCGCTGGTGTCCAGCTCGCAGACCAACACCCAGCAGGACCTGTCTCCTGGCCCGTGAGACATGCTGATGCCCTCGGCTCCTCCACATTCCCTTACCGCTCGTACCCTCCCTTCCTACCCACCATCTCGCCTCCCTCCTGCCTGACTCTCGCTTTCTGCGTACCTGTCTCCCTCTCCTGCTGCCTGTCTCACTCCCTCACTGTGTCTCACTCCCTCTCAACCTGTATCATTAGCCCTCTGCTCGTCTCACTCTCAGCCCGTCTCGTTGTTCCTGTGCCTGTCTCCCTCTCCTGCTGCCTGTATCACTCACTGTCTGATCCTTCTATGATCTCACTCTTCAGGCTCTGGTATCACTCTGTCCGTCCGCCTGTCTGCGGTGCTGAACCCCCGTCCCTCTGTCCGTCTGCCTGTCTGCGGTGCTGAACCCCCCCTCGCTCTGTCCGTCTGCCTGTCTGCGGTGCTGAACCCCCGTCCCTCTGTCCGTCCGCCTGTCTGCGGTGCTGAACCCC